CTATCTTAAAGCTAAAATTTATCAATTTACTTTTTTTGTTCACCCATGTGATGATTTCATTTAATATTCTTACTGCTGCTATGTCTGCTACATCTGCTGTGAACAGTAATACTGTATATCTGTCTATTCTTGTTTCTATAATATCTGTTGTTTTTAGTGTTTTAATAAACTTCACATTGCCAACTCTCTGCAAACTTTGTGCTGTTGATCTTTTAATACCTTTTCTAATAAATTCTCAGATCTTACTTTGTATATGTTACCTCCTATACTGATTGTTGTTATTTTATTTGTCAGTTGGTTTGATGCAACTGTTACTATATCATGTGTTTACTTTGTTAGGTTATTTTCATACGTATGTTTGTTTGTTTACTTTATTTGTTTTGTTATACTTTTCATATGACCTAATTGATCTGTGCAAAAGGGTTACAAGAATTTCCAAAATTTACAAAAAATTTTTTGTTTTTGGTAAAAAATTTTATTTTTCCAAGCTTTGTTGTTTCTATGCTATTTCTATTTGTATTTTGTTCTATTAGCTAGATGTAAATTTTGTTGCTCTTTCTTTTCTACTAAGGGTCTTAGTGTTGCTTCTTAGTATGTTTTGTGATATTTTTCTTGTTTTGCTTCTCATTGATTTTGATTAAGGGATCTGCAGAGGAGAGTTGTTGTTCCTGCAAATATAATTATCTTACTCTTCTTTTTATTATTAATGCAATTAAATTAGTTTTTCACTATATTAGGTTACTTGCTCTTTTATCTAAACTATCTATTACTTAGTTTTAATTCTCTTAATTGTATTTTAAATACAATGAATTTTGATATGTTTGTTAATTTTGTCTCTAATTTATATAAAAAAATTTTTATATTTAACAGTTTCAAATTGTACAACTTTTATATATACTATCTCTTACTTTTACTTTATCTGGATTAATTCTTATTGATTTTATTTTTATTATTTATAATGCTTCTATTTCTTATTGTATTGTTACTTTTTTTCTATCAAATTTCTTCTTCATTTAAACCAATAAAATATTTTTCATTAACTAAACTTATAGTTCTTCTTCTAGTCTACTTTTATTTCCTATTTTAATACTATAAATTATTACTAAAATTGATCTTTGAACTATTTAATAGATTAAATATCATATCCTTCTATCTTATATTATTACTAATATTCAAATTTAGGTAGGTCTTGATCACTCTTGTAGGTTTAAGTTACAGATTATATATCTGAGACTTTATTCTTTATATGTAATTTAAAACCAAATTTTTCTTTATAAAAACTTCAATTGAATTTTAATAAAGTTAAAAACATAACCTTACCTTTAATATTTAAAAAACAAAACCTGCCAAAATAAATAAAACAATCTATAATCTACAACATTTAATTACTATACATATTAAATAAATATATATATACATACAAAATAACAAAAAAAAAATTAAAAAAAAGTATAAATAGATCAAAATTTAAAAAGTAAATAGTTGACTTGTTCGAAAGCCAATTTGTATAACCTTATCGTTATATATAAAGCTTTTGCTTAACGATACTAAACAAAGATAACTCGTGATTGATTTATACAAAGAATTGAGGTCTTTACCTTGAAAATGATCATATGGAACACTAATTAATGTCCCGTGATATCATCTTCAAGAAAAAAACTTATTTGCTAAAAAAAAATATGTACAAGGCACGCATATAGATGCTGGTGAAACTGGTGGCTATCTACAATCTGATTGGCTGTTAGATTAAATTTCACCAGTTTCACCTCGTAGTATTCATAGCCTTCATCTAAAGAATCAATGTCATACTAAATTAAAGATAACATTGTTTCTTTAATGTCGATACAGAGAACCATAATCTTACTTATCAATGACCTATGAAGTAGCAATAATAGTAATGATCTTTAGGTTAAAAATAAAAGTAATAACTGATGGTAAATAATGTGTTACATTTGCCATATGATCTCGGAGTGTAGTTTATCAGCTTAGTATATTTTTACTTTGATAAATTCGATTAGAGTGCGTGACTTAAAAATGTACAAGTCTACCAATTAATTGAAAGTTTCGTGAAACCTCACTCAGTAACCTTGGCTTTATTCTAAAAATCGTCTTAATCTGCGCTTTTGGTGGTTGCAAAGCAGATGTGAGTTTATCAAATATAATAAGCATAGGAAGGACAAAACGCAAAATACCAGCCATATCATTATTAATCTTCAAAGTCCTATATATCTTCTCGGACTTATATAGCCTCAGCACTATTACCTATAGTGTTCTTTATCTCCATTTCCGTTACTTCCTTATCCTTTAATCCCCTTCAATTTTTTTTTTCTTTTTTTTTTTTTTTTTTGGTTCCCTATAGGTCTTTATCTTTGGGTTCTCGTTAAATCTTGGTTTGGTCCTTAATCTGTTTTATAGTACTTAATAATCATGCAAACAATAAAATGTGTCGTTGTCGGTGATGGTGCTGTTGGCAAGGTAAGCAATAAGCATACCCTCGTTTTTAATCAATTACGACCTTATTTCATAACGAGTAGAGTCGTTCTTTTAAGAGTAGTGCTTACGATTTCTTGTTTTGTCGATCGAAATTGTAAAGTTTTCGGGTAATAAATCTGGAAACGACCTCATTTAAGCAATACATTCGTATATAGTAACGTATATTATTATAGATTGTATAAATTACATTGTAAAAAGAAAATTTAATTAGTCATTCGAGAAGAGAAAATATAATTATTTGAAGCATCTTATCACTTTTTAATTCCACTATGCTAATGACTCTTATTTCATTATTATATCATTATGTCTTTGGGATTTACTGATGTAGACGTGTCTTTTAATCTCTTACACAACAAACAAATTTCCGTCTGAATACGTTCCTACGGTAAGCGTTATTAAACGATTGAATTATTAGCATCTTGTAAGCGTTCATCGTTTTAATGTTTTAATTTTATCTAGGTTTTTGACAATTATGCCGTCACAGTTATGATTGGCGATGAACCGTACACATTGGGTTTGTTTGATACAGCTGGTGTGTATCCTTAAAAAGTGAGAAGTTATGTCATTCTGATTCTTTGAAATTAATTATTAAAATACTTTAATTATTTTGTATCATACATATCCTTTCGTTAATAACGTTATCATTTTTATATCGGTATTTTTCAACTGTTGCATTACTGATGAAAATGGATAAATAGGCCAAGAGGATTACGATCGTCTCCGTCCTCTTTCATATCCCCAAACAGATGTCTTTTTGGTCTGTTTTTCTGTAACCTCACCAGCTTCTTTCGAAAATGTCAAAGAAAAATGGTTCCCTGAGGTTCATCATCACTGTCCAGGAATTCCATGCCTGATTGTCGGTACTCAAATAGATTTGCGAGATGATCCATCGGTGGTTGAAAAGCTATCACGACAAAAAATGAGGCCTGTAACTTCAGAGCAAGGCGAGAGACTTGCTCGAGAATTAGGTGCCGTTAAATATGTTGAGTGTTCAGCTTTGACTCAAAAGGGTTTGAAAAATGTTTTTGATGAGGCTATTGTTGCAGCCTTGGAACCACCCGTTACTAAGAAGACTCGTAAATGTATTGTGCTGTAGACCTTTTTTTTTTTTTTTAACTAATTAAATATATTTGTTGGAAATGTATACTTTTTTATTTTATAATCAGCCTTCCTTGTTTTTATAACCCTCAATGTTTTCAATGCTTACATCTCACATATTTAGTATTCGCTATTATATTTACACCTGTCCTATTTTTTTTTGTTTTTGTCGTGAATTAGATATGAATTCGCTCGCTCATTGGTAGATGAGAGAACACGTGTTTCTGTCCATTGATTTATGGATGTTCTTATTTGATTGTGTTTCGGTTTTTTAGTGTTTTGGAAGAATTAGTAGAATTAGTGATATGTTGGTGAATTAGAATATAATTAGATTTTCTATGTAGGAAATTCATATATCAAATCCTTTTTGGTGGTCGTCGTTACTACAGTTACAGTATCCCTTTTTGAATCTCTACTAGTTTATCTATTAACTATTAAAATTGTATTTTTTTTTAAAAAAAAAATGTTACTATTTATTATTGCATGTATACCATATCATAAACAAAAAAAAAAAAAAAGCAAAAAAAAAAACCAATATTTTAAAATTACAAGTATTTGCAAATGATGGGCATCATCACCTTAGCTATGAATTGTCAGATTGGTGGTTACCTAATTTTGTGCACGTTATCTCGCATCGTTTTAACTGTGAGCCAATTTAGTAAGACGTACAAAATTGAAACGTTTACTATGTATTACATATTACAGTAATGTAGCTTAATAAGAATTTGTAACATGTTATTATCACAGCATATACATTGGGCGTGTTAAACCCAAGGACTCAATTAATTCTGACATTGACAAACGGATAACTTCGGACATTTGCTTAAAACGATTTAGAATATAATAACGTAAGAAAAAATTACACAATTTATTTTCTTTTTTACTACAAACATTGTAATTAATAGATTCTTGGAAATTAATTTAGTCATTTGCAAATTAAAAAGGTTTAATCAAACAATTTGAATCAAAAAGGAATAGTCAAACATTTTTTATATACAAATCAAATAACTTTTAGACCATCGATTCGTCTAAGATGAATCAAATGGACTAAATTTTATGAAAAAAATTAAAATTTCTAAATTTATCTTAAATAATCAGATAATTTTATAGCTAAAAAAAAACAAAGTAAAATTATTTTAAATGTTTAAATAAAGCTATTTGATTGATAATAAATTTGTTAATTTTTAATATTAACACAAAATTCAAACCCGAGGCAATGCCCGGGCCAAACAACTAGTCTTCCTTAATACAATTCAATACATTCGCGTAACAGTCACAAAAGTGCATGGTTATAATTAATACATCACACCCTCTACCTGTAAACTACTACTACAAACATACTACAGCAGACCCGATTTTCTCATTACATAAGTCTAATAACATTTACAAACACCTAAACTACCATTGATTCATAATTCATTACCAATAGTTACCCAATAATCGCGTAAGTTATTTTTCCTACCAAATATTTCCAAATAGTTTCCTGAAATAACATTCATAATAAAGAGAAGTAAACATATGTCAACCATATCGTTCAAAGTTAACCTATAAGCGTGCATACCATTTGGAACTAATTCCTCAATCATCTGATATAATTCTTCAGGTTTTTGACTTTGACCACGTCTTTCCGAAAATATTACATCAGAAGAAATCGAATGTTTACATCCCGGTGGATCCTTTCCCTGTTTAATTCAGGCCCAAAAATTAATGATCGGTAAATTGGCATAAATCAATTTAACGAATTAAAAAAGGAAAAAAAACGAATCCATATTTTATTAATGAACATCTGTAAGATTTATAGATAATACTATACTTTTCTTCCCATTAAACAGGTTTCTTTTGCATGTTGTAAATAGAACCCATGTCCTTTAGCCATTCTTCTATTTACAGTTTGCTTCACCCATGTAATATCATCACAATATCTAATACAGAATCAAAAGAAGGTTAGAGTGTCGTAATGCAATATAAATTGGGATACAAAACAGAAGCACGCGAAATGCGCGCTAAAGTATCTGTCAAAACTGTATGTTTCGTCAATGAAGTCTTTATCGCGTATATGCCTACTTCGCACCATCACAAAATTTTCCAAAATTGTACATACGTATACCCCCACTTTTTCAACATTTCAAAAGCCTTGGAATATTTGTTATTAATTACCCATATAAATAAAAATCCATTTTTTTGTAATTTCGGTATGGGCAACTCCTCGATACAAATATCTGGTAACTGTTGATAAGCGATTGCGACCTATCACGTACAAAACAATGCAATGTGACATAAATTAGATGAAAATTATATAAGATCGGACATAAATAAACCGGTCAATATGATTTTGACGGTATTAAAAAAGATGTGAACAATTTACACCACGAGTTGGGGCATGCGTTGCCAATTGCCATGGTGGGTCCATTAGAATTACATCAAATTGACATTCTTTTGCGAATACCTTTGACGTTAATAAAAAATTAGAATTAATTATTGAATGCTAGAAATGTCATGCAATATATGATCGAGATTCAATAATTTAATGAGCTATAAGCTTAATAATTAACTAGAAACAATTGTACTTAATACATACATCCCATTCAAATGTTAACACATCTGCTTTAATAGGAATACACCATTCTGGCGCTTCAAACTCTTCCCAGCAAATATCTAAGGAATAAACGCGAAAAAACGCGTAAATTTTGATTAAATTATTAATCAGAGTTACCTTTCAAATGAGTTATTATTCAATTTCCTTTTTTTTTAACCATATTAAAAATCAAGGTTTATACTAAAAAAACGGCAAATACCATTTTTTTCAGCATTATCTCCACGCTCTCTCTTTTTTCCATTCCCACTGCATGTTAAACTACCGTCTTGACCATCCTTATTAATAATTTTAGCTTCTAGTTGTGCAATTTCTTCTGTTAATTCAGCAATTTGTAACTGTAGTTCTGTTTCTCTATCTAGCAAATATTTTAACTGTGCATCTATTGCTAAATCGGAAAAAACTTTACTACTACTACTACTACTACTACACATGAGTATCAAAGATATTTTGCTCTTGGCGTAAATTTAATGGCGAAAATGATTTTGACAATCAAAATTGTAAATAATTTAGTATGTCGAAAATTCTGTAGAAAATGATTTTTTGTGATCTCCCGTGATAATTAATGTTAACGTTAACCAATCAAAATACATAATTTTTAAAATATATTACTGTATATACTAAAAACATCATAAAGGAGCTTATAAACTGATATGCTAAAGTTTATCAAAGTATTTATTAAATACTTATTAAGTAGTATATAAATACTTAGCAAATACTTATTGAATATAAGATATGTTTTTTTTTTTTTTTTTTTTTTTTTTTTTAAGCTAACTGCTTAAAAACGCAGATGGCGTCTTTTGTTATTAATTATTGCTAATATAAAAGAATATTTACAGTTTTTTTAAGCATTTAAAAAGCTTAATTTTCTTTGGAACATTACTAATATTTTTGAACAATATTCTAATTTCATTAGCTAGATGCTTAGCTACTATAGAGGGAATTATTGTAGGTGTGTATATATTGTTTCTCTATATTGCTGATGTATAACAACATCAAATTTCATATATCATGTTGATGTGCAACCAAAAGATTGCTTGTGGATGATGTTGATCTTTAATGTTACTAGTATCAAATATTTCTTTGATTGAGAAAGGGGATATTTCTTGTATAACAGTTTGTAAAAAAGTATACGTTTTATTCCAGACCTCTTTGCTGGTCTTACAATGAATAGCAAAATGATCTATTGTTTGTTGCTTGTCTGAACACCAAGGACAATTTCTGTTAATTGAAGGGTCTGTATATTTTAAACAATATCTTAAAGGTAGTATTTTGTGAAATATTCTCCAGAATGTATCCATTTTTTTGTTATTTATTGGTTTAACAAAAAACCAATTGTTGTTTGTTAAGAGTGTTTGGAATTGAGTAGTATTGTTAGTTAGATGTGAAGTTTTCCAAAAATTTAAAATTTTCTTGACTGAGAATTTATTAGTTTTGAAGTCTCTTAGGCATAGATCTTCTTTGCTTCAAGACTAGTTGTGACTGATGTTTATTTTGTCCTGAGCTTTTTTCTATACAAATAGATAAGGTTTCCATTTTTTGTACCAAGTTTTAGTTTTGATCACCTCAGTATTTAAGGCAGTATAAACTGATATGTTTCATTTAAATTCTAATATGTTACTTATTTTTTTTCTTTCTAGTCTAGCCCAGAAATGGTTTTCTGAGAATAGCTTTAGCTATATAGAAAGTAGTCATACCTTGAGCATTTCTCCTATTATTGGAGCCTGCAACCCTGCAGCATTGTGTGCTTGTTGAAATACTACAAATCTTGGAAGCATTTTAGATCTGTTTTTGATCTAAAAAGATATTATGCTATTAATTTCTGCAGTATGCTTTTTGCTTAGAGGAAGTAGATATGCTGTATACCAAATTTGAGACAAAATTAAGGAGTTTGCTAAAAGAATTTTGCCTTTAAATAAGAGATTCCTGTTCACCAGCTTTTCAAAAGAGCTTTTAAGTTTGTTAATTATAGATGACCAAAGGTCCTTTTTTGGAAGACCGTTGGGATAAACTTCATAGTCCAGAATGGTAATAGCTTCATGTTCTGATATTGTTTTGAGGTTTTTTCTACCTGCTAGTTCAAGACTTCGGGCTGTATTTGTAAGTAGAATTAGTTTAGATTTGTTTTAGTTGATTTTTGTATTTGAGACTCTTTCATATATAGTGAAGTTTCTTTTGATAATGTCCCAATCTGTTCTAGAACCAATTCCCAGTATGAGATTATCTGCATAAGCTGAAGCTTTAAAGGCTGTATCTCCTAACTGGATTCTCGTAAGTTCTCTGTTCAGTTTTTGTAATAGTGAATCAAAGGTCAAAATGTATAAAAGAGCCGAAAGAGGATCACCTTGTCACACTCCTCTTTCAACTCTAAAAGGTACAGAAATCTTGCCTATAGCTGTAATGTGTGCTTCTTGATTGGTGAATAAGGTTTTAATTAGCTTTATGAATTTGGAGTTAAAATTCATTTTCTTTAATATTTCTGAGAGATAGTTATAGTTAACGTGATCAAATGCCTTTTGTTAGTCTACTAGAAATAGCCAGTTTTGCTTTGTATTGTCTTGCTAATTTCTTATAACTGTTAGAATATCTAGTGCTGTATCTGTTATGACTCTATTTTTAATGAAGCCATATTGATGGTCTGGAACCAGGTCTTTACATATTTCATTAAGCCTATTAGCCAAAATCTTCATAAAAATTTTAGCATCAC